ATAGAAAAAAAAGAAGAAGATAAGCACAGAAAATAAGATCCTCACCCAGGGTAAAGTCTTCTCCCTATCCTCGACTGGATTTACACCGTGACTGAAGAAAAAGAGGCAAGTATGTCACAGACGGATAGATAGGCTCAGGATAGGGGAGCATACTTTTTCTAACAAGTAACCTTCTATATAATTCAATGTTAATGTTTCTTTTGACCATCTTAATGTTACTAAATGCAGCAAACCAACAGATTGGAAATGATCCTATATCTATACTTACACCTATACCTAGACAAAGAAACTTGTGTGACGAGCACAAGGGAACACTACATGATGTAAAATTACTAAATGTATCCATCAGGATTATATTCCCTTTAATACTTATTCCATCTGTATGCTGAACAAATTATTCTAGAAACTCAACTCTATGAAGAAGAAGGTGGTAAGAACTTAAAGCGCTTGCTGCAGACTACTACATCATTCAATATGGATTGCGTCTCAACATAAAAAAAAAAAACTTGAAAATCTCAAAAACAAAAAAAAAAAAACAAACCCAACTTGATAAGTCTCACAACTGGACCAATAGGCAACATCATGAAAGATGAAGAAAAGATTGAAACTCTCAATGTCATCTTACTTAGATCTACTTGGTACCAGCAGTCAGGAGATGTACTGCACTGGGAGTCTGTGGTCAGGTACCTCTCTAAATTATTGAGAATCAATGATATTAGTTTGAGGACTAAAGGACACTTGATTCGGGATATGGTCTTTTCAATCACTTGCTACGCTGCTGACAGCTGGACAATGAATAAGGATGACAGAGGATTTGATGGCTTTGAACTGTGGTGTTGAAGAAGAGTACTGAATATCCTATGGGTTACCAAAAGAACAAACTGATATGTCTTAGAGAAGGGGTATCCAGAGTGCTCCCTGAAGGCAAAGGTGATAGAACTTCATCTCACATACTTAGGACATGTTACTGGAGAGACTATTCTTTGGAGAGTGACTTCATCCTAGAGAAGGCAGAAGGATAGCAAAAGAGAGGAAGATCCTTCATCAGGTGGAATGACACAGTAAGAGATTGGGAGGATGAAACAGGATAGGACCACGTTGGATCTGTTGTTCATAGAGTTGCTATAAGTTGTACTCAACTGGACAAGACCTAACAACGATGACAACAACAAGTGACATACTCATTTTACAGCATGCCCTGAGAACCTCTGGAATTATTTTATCTCTACTCAAAAATCTCAATATATATCTTAAGGTTTCTAGAATTGATATTACCTTTCAGGTGCTGTTCTACTCTAGACAGCACAAAGAGGTGAAGGGAATTTGAAACACTTGCTGCAGAAGATAAAAACTCTTTGTTATGGATTACATCACAATAGCAAGAACACAAAATCCTCACCACTGGACCAATAAGCATATCATGATAGATGGAGAAAAGATTGAAGTTGTTAGTCATTTCGTTTTACTTGTATACACAACCAACCTTAATGGCACAAGTAGTCAAGAGATCAAAAGACATGTTACACTGGGGAAATCTGTTGTCAAGGATCTTTCCAAAGTTACAAAGTACAACGATGTTAATCTAAAGACTAAAGTGCACTTTAAAGAAGCCAAAATCTTTTCACTGCTGCCTGTGACTCTGAAAGTTGGACAAGGATTAAAGATGACAGAAGAAGAATTGATGACCTAGAGTTATAGGTTAGAGAAGAGTACAGAATATCCCATAGACTAGCAAAAGAACACACAAGTCTGTTCAGAGGAAGTGCAAGCAGAGTTCTCCTTTAAGGCAAAGATGGTGAAACTTCAATTAATAAACTCTAGGTGTGTTTTCAGGAAGGGTCCAGTTTTTTAAAAGGACATCATGCTGGGGAAATCAAAAAGTGTATCGCGATGGGAAAGTCTGCTGTTAGGGACCTCTCTAAAGTACTCAGGAGCAATGGTGTCTCTCTGGAGACTAAGGTGCGCCTGATACAGGTCATGGTTTTTGCAATCACTTGTTATGCATCAGAGAGTTGGACAATGACTAGGGAGGACAGAAGGAGAGTGGATGCTTTTGAGCTGTGGTGCTGGAGAAGGGTACTGAATGTACCATGGACTGCCAGGAAAACAAACAGATCCATCTTGGAGAGGATTAAACCAAGCTACTCCTTGGAGACAAGGATTCTGGGGCTTCGTCTGACATACTTTGGACATGTTGCCAGGAGGGATGGGTCCTTGGAGAGGGACATCATGCTTGGGAGGGTGGAGGGATGGCACAGGAGGGGAAGACCCTCTATGAGATGGATTGACTTGGTGACTGGGGTAATCGGGGTGGGTGTGTCAGAGGCAGTGCGGTTGGCGCAGGTTAGAGCAGGGTTTAGGGCTGTTGTGCATAGGGTCGCTATGAGTCGCAAACGACTCGACGGCACATAACAACAACAACAAC